AAACGTAGTGCAGAAAAAAAAAAAATGCCTCATTTCCTCCATGCCCGGGAGAGCCAACACAGTGGTTCTCAGCCAGGGAAAACCAGGTAAAGTCAGATGAAGGACATGCGTCAAAGTTACAGTGGAGATGCTGAGCCGGGCTGCGCTGACCCACAAGACTTCTAACGTGCGCACCCGCCTGAGGGGGCCACTCCCGTAGACCTGCAGACGGGCCACACAATCATCCCTGCACTGTAAACAGCTCGCTGAGCCTGCGTCGTGCCGAACACACTGCAGAAAAGGGCCCCTGATAGAGGCAAAGCTCAGGAGAGGTTCCAGGGTCGGTCTTTGGAGAAGAGACTTCCAGGACACTGGGCGCAGAGTTAATCAAGAAAATAACCGCAGAGAGCCTTCAGTCAGGTGTGCCAACGACATCACATTTCCATTCCAGGTTGATTTCAGAACACTGAACAAAGATTTCTTTATTCATGCTAGTAAATACCTAAGGAAGGTCAGCTTTATTATATCCCATTTTTATTGTCTTCCCTAAGAGAGAAACTAAAGGGCAAAGTGACTTGTGCTATGAAACGGTTCAGTGTGTGTATGTTTTCAACTTTCTTTTACCTTTAACATGTCATCTGCCTCAGAGGCAGATATCGTGGCTTGTATGGATTTTTTTTTCTTTCAGGGCCTGGCCTACTGTGGATCTTTTTTTTTTTTTTTTTTTAAAGATTTTATTTGCTTATTTCTAGAGAGGGAAGGGAGGGAGGGAGGGGGAGAGTGAGAGAGAGATTGAGAGAGAGAGAGAGAGAGAGAAAGAGAGAAACATCAATGTGCGGTTGCTGGGGGTTATGGCCTGCAACCCAGGCATGTACCCTGGCTGGGAATTGAACCTGGGACACTTTGGTTCACAGCCCGAGCTCAATCCACTGAGCTACGCCAGCCAGGCCTCTACTGTGGATCTTGATAAACGTTACCGATGCCGATGATGAGATTCACCATAAAGATGCAGACTGGAGCCTAAGATGACTCCCACTCAAAACCTAGGAAGGGAAAGCTGTGCCCCCTCCCTTCGCCCTCTGATGGTCGGATCGAGAGTGATGCACCGACTTAGCTCTCTGCAGCAGCGTCCCAGGCATGTCTGCGGGTAATGTCCCTCGGTTAGGAAAACTGCCATTGGACTGGACAAGCCCATCATCACCCTCCTGGGAGCTCGCTGTGGCAGACCCATGGGATGGGAGTCTGGAAGCATCCGAGAGGGCAGAAGGCCACGAATTAGCCAGAAGATCCCAAACCTCAGGTCACTGTCTGGATTTCCTCCGCAGACGTCCTCTCTCATCTGCAGGCGGACACAGTTAGTTGTCCGAGCAGTTGCTGGAGCAGCCGGTCACGCAGAAGCAAAGTTGGCCCTAAATGTCTCACTTATGGATTTACGTTCAACCACGGAGCTGAAGTAGTTAGATAATAGTGTTTACAAGTGTTCCAAGTTCTGGAGAAAACAGGCAGCATTTGTTTACAGAGGACATGCCATCTGCCTGCATGCCTGACTCGGGCGGACTGTTATCGCTAGCACAGTCCTCAGGACGGGCTGTAAACCGAGACCTTGGAGGAAGGGGAGAACATTTCTCTACTTGGTGTTCTTTTTTAGAGGGACATGGAAACATCCTAAATGTGGTTATTTCTGCAAGAGCTTTGTATTCAACGAGCCCATTTTACAGGCACACAAACCTGAGTATGGAGCTTCCTGTGACGTTCAGTGACGAAGCTCTCCTGCGCACGCTGGAAGGAAGTGTAGGGAGTCCCACCAGTCACACGGGTTTTTTTTTTTTAACCAGAATTAATGTCAAGTTCTCCACGCTAGGTCCACTGGGCCTGACTAGTACATTCATGTAGTGCCATAAGCCAAAGAATGTGTTTCTGAAATTCATTATATTTAAATCCTTATACCAAGAGGCAAAATTTATAAACCAAGATACCTTTTAGCGCAAACATAGGACCACACCCCCCCTACAGAAGCCCCCAACCCGGAGGCCTCACACAGAAAAGTCAGGAGCACCCTGGCCTCTCAGCGTTCCCCGTCCAAGGAAGTCCAGAGACAGTAACTATTTAATCTTAACATCCCTTCTCAGGGGACAAAGAGGCGGTCTACCGTGCAGGCACAAGCCTAAGGCCGAAGAGGGCTCTGGAGTCAGGCTCTGGATTAGCTCCAAATTCTCCATCCTCACCAATAAAATGCCCAGGGGCTGGGAGGAGGGGAGTGTATATTAAGCTCCTGACGACTAACATATGCACTATATTTTTGGATATATGTTGGTTTCCTCCTACTTAGGAAGCTGAAGTGCAGCGAGGATCAAGCACAGGCGCTGAGGCCGGCACCGCCTGCCGTGGGGGTTTTCCCTGCGTGGACAGCAGCCGCGGGCACCTGTGCCGGACTCTGGGCCGCAGCTCACAGAGGTGACCTTAGTTAATATTGCGTCCTTTCCTCCCTGTTGTTTCCCAACATGTGCATCCGTAGCAGGGGAGTGTTCATCAAGCCTTTCCCCCAGGTTCCTCTGGTGTGTGGGTCACACCGCCTGCGTGGGCGGTGCGTGAAAGTCCATCTGGGGACTGAGTGCGCTGCGGCATCTCCCTCCTGGGGACCCCAAAGGTCCCCAACAGCCTCTTCCCAGCCCATCCCCTGCTCCACTTGTGTTCTAGCCTTGCCCTCAGGTCCATGGGCCATCTTACCCTGGTTTTTTAAAAGGATATTCTTGGCCCCCAAATCAATTCTAGATAAGGGGATGAGAAGGAACCGCTGGGTGAAAGCACCCCCATTTATTTCCTTCTCTCTCTTTCCTCTTGTCCCTGTAAAACTCCTGTGGGGGGCAGAATGATCACCAGCCCCTAAGATGTCCATCTCTTAATCCTCAGAACCTGTGGCTATGTTACCTTACATGGCAAAGGGATTTGCAGATGTGCCTAAGGTAAGGGTGCTGAGATGGAGGGAGGGTCCTAGATCATCCAGGTGGATGCGAGGAGTCCCAGTGTAATCACCAGTGTCCTCTCGAGAGGGAGGTGGGAGCGTCAGAGCCACACAGGAGATGTGATCATGGAAACGAGGGGTGGGGGACAGAGAGAGAGAGACAGAGAGAGGTGCAGAGATTCTATGCTTCTATGCTGCTGGCGTTGCAGATAGAGGAAGGAGCCACACCACAAGCCAATGTGGCCTCCAGAAGCTGGAAAAGGAGAGGAAAGCAATTCTACCCTAGAGCCAAAAGGAACTAGCTCTCCCCACACCCTGATGTTAGTGCATTGAGACCCAGGTTGGACTTAGAACCCTCAGAACTGTAAGATACCACACTGTTGTGGTTTTAAGCCACTAAGTTTGTGATCACTTGTTACAGCAGCAAACGGACACTATACAGCTCCCAAACAAAAGCGTATAAATTGCACCGACCCAGGAATGTGCTGTGTGGAGGGAGCTGTACCAGGGCCTTCTCCTCACGCTCCCCAGCTCCGCTACTCAGCGTGGCCCCGGCTCTGCACCAGCACCCACAACACCCACCCCTCCCCTGACCTCAGACCTACTTCCCTCCAGACGACGCCTCTCCTCCCTGTGCAAAACCTTCAGCAAAGGTCACAAACAGATTCCCAATCCCCTTCTCCTCTGGCCACGCCTCCTTCCCCGTCAGTCAGAGAAGAGGAGCATCCCAGTTTAAACTCCAACCATAACCGAGGGTCCGAGGCAGCCCACCCACCGGAGTTAGATGCACTGGGCTCCACGCCTTGGGGAGAAAAACGAGCTCACTGACACAACTGGTACGGAAACCACATGTGCAGCACTGTGCCCAGCCACAGCTTTGGAGGCACACCTCCTCGTTAGAGAATCTGTGTGTTTCAAAAGACAAAGACCCAGATGCATGACCTAAGGAATGTGACCTTAAAAAAAAAATACTTGCACCTGCCTCTTGCCCTGGTCGTGACAGAGACCAAGATAAACACCAGCTTCCAAATTTCCTCTCACAAAATAATTGTGCTACTGTTGTCCACACTTGACTATGCACCTTCAACGTCCTAAGAGAGTCGCTCAGGTGGAGCGAGACCCAGGGCCGCCCTGGGGAATGCCCAGGGACGGGATAACACAAGTGGACACAATCAGAGGTGGACAGGTGGCATGGGTGGCATTGCTGTCAGTGGAGGCGGTCACACCGTCGGTGCCCTGACAGTGTGTGCGCCTTGGCCGAAAAGTACATAGAACAATTCACTTAAAGGATGAAAGTTTTATAAATTTCTCATTTTAATCCTGAGTTGAAAATATCTCATATCTCTTCAAAGAACAGTTGGGCTTCGCCAATTCCCATACAGGGGAAATTCTAATCACTGAGAGTCATGTTAAGAGACTTCTTTTTCTTACGTGAAAAGACAAGCAATGCCCATCTGGAAATCGTTTTGGGGACTATGAGCCCCAGAGAAAGCTGTCCACCAGATCCTTCCAGTATCTTTCACATTTCCAAGTGCGCACATGAGAAATAAGCCAACCACAAGAGGGCAAACACCGGACGATTCCTCTGTTCCGGGTCCCTAGAAGGGTCAGATTCACACAGACAGAAAGTTGACTCACGGTCACCAGTTCTGGAGGGATGGGGAGGGGGAGGTTTTGTGGAATGGGTACAAAGTTTTGGTTCTGGAAGGTGAAAAAGTTCTGAGGGTGGGTGATGGTGAGGGGCGATGCGCCACAGCGTGAATGCATTTACAGCCACGGAAATACACGCTTCAGGGTTGTTAAAATGGTAAATTTTATCTTACATCTATTTTGCCACCAAAATAGCGCTATAAACACCCACGCATAACACAGCTCCTCCATGTGCTGCTTCCTTACACTGAACCACGACCATGAACACTTAAAATGTTTCTTATTTTGAGGGAATCCTTTCATTGGCTGCAAAGAACAAGACAGAGAAGCAGGCCTCCCATGGAGCATACAGGGCCGGGGAGGCAGCCCCGCCCTCAGGAGACAGGTGAGTTCCCAGGAGGAGCCCTACCTGGTTTGAAAGTGCTGCTCCAGGTCGCAGCGCTGCACTACCTGCGTGCAGTGCTCGGTGAACGGGCAGGTCACCATCAGCTTGTTGAGGAGCTTGTGGACCAGGATGCTGGATTTCTTGCAGTGCTGGAGAATCACGGGCATGCGATCCAGGGGGCAGAAGTCCTTGTTTACCAGGAAGTTGGTGAGGCAGAGAGTGCAGTAGGTGTGTCCGCAGGGCGTGTCCAGGGGCTCCAGCAGCGCTTGCAGGCAGATGTGGCATATGAGGTCGTCGTCCACGTCTTCCGTGTAGGTGTAGAAGTGATTCTCCTCGGGGGAGTGGGCTTGGCCGCATACCACACACAGAGGTGCAGGGCTGAGGTCTGGGTCACTGACAGGGTCTGGCTGGTTCATGGTCGACTGCGGGGACAGGATGATGGGCAACCGACCCAGCAAAACAGTAGTTCCTCAGGAGCCAATCAAGATCTTTTAGGACCCATCCACGAGCCTAAAAGAGAACAACACGACATCTTTGTTTTCACAGGAAACTTCAGACCCTTTGTCACCCACATGAGACAATGCTGCCAGCAGAGAGGGAGCTGACACTCAGAAGGCCAGGGTTGAGGGACAGGACTCCGGGCGAGTGACTTAGCCTCATTCTGCCTCAGTTTAACTTTAACCATCCTCAAAGAAGGAGTAACATCTGCCTCTAACATTCTCATGGCGGGGTGGTTAAAATCATTTGGGTAGTATCTGAGAAATGCCTAGAGTAACTCAAAAGACATATGCTCTAGGAAATGTAATACGTTAATAAAATTAAATGGATCAGTGATTTATAATATTCTCTGTCAGATCAGAACAAGAAAAATCATTAGCAATTGAATGGCTTTCTCTTATCTTTCTTCCACACCTTTCTCTACAGTCAGGAATTGTAGTAGGCCAGCAGAGCCTTCACCTAATAAATACTCTGAGAAGAAGTAAGAGATGTTGAGTCTGTCGTGTTTATACTGTGGTGAAATCATTTTTCCCTGTATGCTTTCTGTCACTCAGTCAGTTAGTTACTGGTCACGTGGGTTCGGGAAACACAGTGCTTGGGTTCGAATCCTGCCACCACTGTGGATAAAGATTTAAGCTTTGGGGATAGTAATGGCCTGCCACATGGGCTTGTTGTGAGGCTTAAATGAGATAGGATATATACAACTTTTAGAATTGTGCCTGGTATACAGTAAGTGCTTAATAAATATAGTTATTATCCTTGTATGTATTGTTATTGAATTCATTTGGTCTCCAGTCTAGCTCAATTGGCCTGGAAACTGGGATGTATAGTTGCTATAAGGGATCTTTTTGCTTTGTTCTAATAGTATTCTTTTATTCAATTATATATATATTTCAAACCAGTAGAATACTATCATGCTGTGTATTTTCCTTTGGTATAGGAATCCAAAATAATGGAGTTCTCAGCATGCCTGATTAACATCTAGGAAGCCTCTTGGGAAATCAGTCAATACATTTTTTTTGGCACCAACTCTGAGCCAGGGAATGAGCTGGGTATAGAGACCTTTCGGAGAGCTTTCAAGGACAGGCCCCTGCTCTCATGGAGTCTCCTGTCCAGGGGAGTGGACATGAGCTCAGTTAGCTGGGCGCCCAGGTAAGCAGTGCAAACACAGCTATGCACTAGGAGACCCAGGCCAGCTGTCATGACGACTGAGAATCCCACCCCACTCATACCCCCCAACTCAACGCTCTTCTTTCCTGAAAGGAAGTGAGAAGACCTGATGCCTTCCACAAGGACATCAAGGCACATGAATAACCCAGCAGGAAACCAGCCACATTTGGAAACAGCACAGCAGTCATAAATTGTGTTACATCTTTTTTCTTATCCAAATAGAGTCTGAGGTTGTTTGCACAAACATCCCCTTATCTCAAAAAGAAAATACATTGACTTCAAACTCTCATTGGGTCAGCTTCGTGTTTACATTTTTGTGCTGTGCTAACATGCCAGAAAGAACACTCTAGCCAGGAGGTCGAAGTGAAATACCCCTGAATGTGAAAACAGTTAGGAATGACAGCATTTTCTTTAGCATCGGAAGGGACTGCAGAAGGCTAAGGCCGAGGGCGGGCGCCAGAGAAGGTGAAGTGGCTCCTAGTCAAATTTTGTGGAAACCCATTTGTCCTCAAGGCTGCCAGAAGGTAGTGGAACCACACAGAGAACACTTGGAATGGCATGAAAAGTAGTTGAAAATCAGCAGGAAAATGGAAACGGGCCACCCCAAAGATTACCCTCTGCTATAGAAAAACATGGGCCACAAATTTTGAACTAAAGCTCTAGATCTTTTAAAAGTTCCTCTACCTGGCTGGCACGGGCTGCGAACCAAAGCATCGCAGGTTCGATTCCCAGTCAGGGCACATGCCTGGGTAGCAGGCCTCGGCCCCCAGCAACCGCACATTGATGTTTTTCTTTCTTTCTCTTTCTCCCTCTCTTCCCTCTCTAAAAATCAATAAATAAAATCTTTAAAAAAAGTTCCTTTGCAAAGACTTTGTCGAATACTCTCTCACGTGTTTTGTTCCCATCTGCCCTTTCACATGGGCCACCCTGGGGAACGACAGGCGTGTCGCTCTGGCCGCAGCACTGAAAGACCACGTCACCTCTCGGGGCCATTCCTTTACTGGTGAAATGGGGGAGCAGACCCGATTTTTGGTGTCAAACTATGCTCTGGGGACAGTGTCAGACACCTTTGCATCTTCCAGTGGAGGGGAGGACGGGAGGGTGGGGCTGTGGCCACTTCTCTGCCCCACCCAGTCTCAGCTCCACTTTTTGTCTCTGACACCGCAGTTCCTGATCATGCTAGGTTCGAAGAACCCTGGCTTAAACACAGACAACACCACCAGACCAGTCACCTAAAGTCCCTTTCAGAAACAGAGTTCTATGATATCATGCTAATCAATTGGGGGTGTTCTGTTTTCTTTCAGGTGATTGGCTCTTTGGGAAAATCCTTTTTTTTTTTCCTTTGCTTTCTAACAGCTTTCGAGCGTCGACCTTGCCAGGCACTGTGCTAGGGGCCTTACACAGTATGTCCTTTAATCCTCACAGATCCCCAGGGTGGGCTGTATTCCCCCCTATTTAACAGGTAAGGAAACTGAAGTGTGACAGGCAGGTAACTTGCTAGTCACCCCAAAAAGAAACAAACCCAGCAGGGGCTGCTGACTCGTGTTTCAGCACCTATGTGGCCCTGCTGTCCCCCAGCTCCTCCCTGACTGTGACTGCTCGGAACCCCAATGACATAACTAACCAAATATAAAAACCCTGGGGAACCAGAAGTGTAAAATCTCTCTCTGCCTCACTGCAAGCAGGACTTTCCAAGAGAGCTGAGTAAAAAGTTCCTTTGACTGTCCCGAGTGCTAAGATGCCGGAGATGGAATGGATGGAACGAGATAAGCAAAAATGGCAGGTTTTAATCCAACTCCAATTCTTCTTCCTTCCTTTCTTCCTCCCTCCCTCCTTCCTTCCCCCTTTCCCTCTCTCCCTCCCTCTGAGAGCAGTGCGAATCCCTTGGCACTGACCCATGTGCACACACCAGATTCTTTGTATAATATTAACGTAAACACTGCTGTACGTATTTTCTGACTTTGCGTTAGACTAAATAAAGCCTATATGAATAAACACGGATTATGAGAGAACTGACCGAATGAGTAGTTCTGGCACTAAGGAGAGAACTAGGTAGGCTTTTAAACATAGGATTAAGAACATTACCTGATGTTTCTTATTTCCGGTTTACATCTGATAAACACATATGATGTATCATGCTTTTAGATAGAGATGTGCCTTGCGGCTAAATTCAGAATGATGAAAAATCATTAAGGCTTAAAAGGGAAACTATTTTCTCCCCCAAAAGTGAGTGAGAGAACCCGTCAGCTTTGGGTCCATTAACATTCACCAATATGTCAGCTGTCAGCACCTCAGCTGTGGCCGAAGAAAGGAGAGGAAGCTATGATGGATTTTTTTTCTCAGTTCAGAGGAAGAGCACAGAAGAGCACTCCCTCCTTGGGTGTGCATGATGGGATTGGGGGAGGTACAACCCTACTGTGGCTTAGGAACCATTCTTCCTCCCTCTCCTCTGACCTGGGGTCAACTAGAAACCTGGTGTGACTTTTAGAGATATGTGTCGTCTGCATACTGTAGTGCTGAGAAGTGTCAGGAAAAATAAAAATCCCCATCTGTTTGTCCCTAATCCCTGCTTCCCTTCTCACCAGTTTGTGGTCTCGCCTGAAACCTGTATGGAAGTCCTACCTAACTTTCAAACTCTGACCTCCCTCGGCTGACAACGCAGGCATCCCTGAGCACGTGTGAGCCAGGGCTGGCCTCAACCAAAAGGGTCGTTAGAACTTGTATGAGTGCTGTCACCTGCATTAAGAACCCGACAGACTTAAGAACGGCCCCCGAGGCACGGCCTGTTTGCGGGTGGAAATGTTTCTGCATGAGGTAACTTCCCAGAGCAGCCGAGACTCGGTGTGCTGCTGTCCCACTAACTGCCCTTCAAATGCACGCCAGCTTTACAGACAACGGTTGTCCGATGAAGTCTGCAGAGTAAACCACATGCTCACTAGGGAGGCGATGGATAAATGCACCATTTGCATGCTGCACGGACAATTTCACATGTCCCTCCTACAGCAAGGACAGGACTGGACTCTAAGCGTCCCTTCAGTACTGGCACGAGTCAGTTTCCAACAATAGTAGTGGGACATCATATTATTAAAAAGAATCTATCCCAAACAACCCAAGTGCCCATTACAGACAAGTGGATATAAAGGCTGTGGGACATATAAAAAGAATGAAATCTCACCATTTGCGACAATATGGTTGGACCTAGAGGGTATTGTGCTAAGTGAAGTTAAGTCCGTTGGAGCAACAATCCAATGAGACCTTGGCTAAAAGTTAGTGGCACACCTGTGACAAGTTTGTATTTCTCTGGTTTTGTGACTGTATAGCTAGGAACCAGGTCAGGTACAAGGAAAATATCGAGGCCCACAAAGGTTATTGGTCACAGAATTGCATCCAAATGAGTCTTGACACCCCTCTCTCTACTCAGGTTTCTAAAAATAACAGCAACAGGGTCATGGTTAAGGTGAGGCAAATGAGGTGCTCACCTTTCAGTGCAAAATTTAGGGGCACACCAAAAATCTCAGTGATCACAATAAGTAATATTTTAATGATTATTGTTTAAAAACAAAATTAATGCCAAAAATCCAAGACAGGATCAGTAAGCTAAAGCTATTTAAAAATTATTTAAGATTATCAGTTAAGGCTCAGCTGGATTTCTCAGTTGGTTAGAGCATCACCCAGATAGGCCAACACTAACAATGTGGGTTCAATTCCCAGTCAGGGCACATACAAGAATCAACCAATGAATGCATAAATAAGTAGAACAAGAAATTGATGTTTCTCTCTGTCCATCTCCCTCTCACTCTCTATTCCTCCCTCCCTGCTCCCTTCCTCTCTCTTTAAAATCA